CCATCATTGTCCCTGTCCCGAAGAAGCCCAGGATCACAGGACTCAACGACTACAGACCTGTAGCACTTACGTCTGTCGTCATGAAGTCATTTGAACGCCTGGTTCTCTCCCATCTCAAGTCCTTCACCTCCCCCCTCCTGGACCCCCTGCAGTTCGCCTACAGAGCCAACAGATCTGTAGACGACGCCATTAACCTGGCCCTCCACCACATCCTACAGCACCTGGACTCCCCGGGGACCTACGCCAGGGTCCTGTTCGTGGACTTCAGCTCTGCCTTCAACACAATCCTGCCATCCCTGCTCCAGGACAAGCTCTCCCAGCTCAACGTGCCCGGTTCCACCTGCAGGTGGATTACTGACTTCCTGACAGACAGGAAGCAGAGAGTGCGTCTGGGGAAGAATGTCTCAGACTCTCGGATTATAAATACAGGTGCCCCACAGGGCTGTGTTCTTTCTCCCCTGCTCTTCTCCCTGTACACCAACCACTGCACCTCCAGCCACGACTCCGTGAAGCTGATCAAGTTCGCGGACGACACCACCCTCATTGGACTCATCTCCAACAACGATGAGTCCGCCTACAGGAGGGAGGTGGACCGGCTGGTGTCCTGATGCAGTGGTAACAACCTGGAGCTGAACGCCCAGAAGACAGTGGAGATGATTGTGGACTTCAGGAAGAGCACTGTCCCCCCGCCCCCACCCTCCGTGATGGACTCCCCATCACCTCTGTGGAGTCCTTCCGTTTCCTGGGCACCACCATCACCCAGGACCTCAAGTGGGAGCCGACCATCAGCTCCCTCATCAAGAAGGCCCAGCAGAGGATGTACTTCCTGCGGCAGCTCAGGAAAGCCAAGCTGCCTGCACAGATGCTGGTGCAGTTCTACACGGCCATCATCGAGTCCATCCTCACCTCCTCCATCACCGTGTGGTTCTCTGGAGCCACAGTCAGGGACAAACAGAGACTACAGCGCATTGTGCGCTCTGCAGAGGAAGTGATCGGCCGCAGCCTTCCATCGCTGCAGGACCTGTACGTCGCCCGAGCTCGAGCTCGGGCTGGTCGTATCACAGCCGACCCCACTCACCCTGCACATGGACTATTCCAACCACTCCCCTCAGGCAGGAGGCTGCGGTCCATCAGGACTAGAACCTCCCGCCACAAGAACAGTTTCTTCCCCTCTGCTGTTGGACTCTATTTTAAATTTAAATTTATTCTTTAGAAGTGTTTTTTATTCTTATTTTTATTATCCCTTTTTGACTGTTGCACTGAGCCAAAGCAATTTCCAAGTCTGTGACCTCCTGTTACTTACGTGGCAATAAAAATGATTCTGATTCTGATTCTGATGACGCGCATGACCCCGTTTGCTTTGTATTTAAAATAGTTTTTAAATACTTTTGTCAAAACGGGGTAAAAAATACACAATTAGTATGCTGTTTGTTGTCAAAAATAATAAACATATTTTTTTTTATTAAAAGCCGGCGGGAGGTGATTGACGGATCAAAACAGCGAATCAGAGCACGCAGCTAGCTCCGGAGTCCGGCTCCCGAGTCCAGCGTCTGTGGCTTGGTCTCGCGGACACTACATAGAGCTGCTGTTTTTCTGCTTTTGTCAGCAACTAAAAGTGTCACGTCAACTTAAATGAAGTGTGTTATGGGTGTAAATATGTAACGCACTATTTGGCCTGAAGAGGAAGAAAGTGGCTCAACTTTTTTCATCTGTTCATCTCATGGATCTATTATAATACCGGTTCATCTGCGACACTTCACTGAGACTGTTCCAGAACTACAGGAACAATGGAACTGGACTTACTCAAAAGCTGATCTGGAAACACGTTATTCCCACGGTAAAAGACGTAACTCGGACCCCCTCGATCTGTAAGTAGTGACGCTAACTCGCCGTATACTTCTGTAAACCAAATAACTAGGGTCTGATTGTGCATCGAGGACATAGGGCTCGATGTGACGGATTGTCATTGTTGGAAAAAGTTTATTCTTATGTATGAAATCACTAAGTACCGGAGATAAACATCTCAGAGCGTGATGCTACGTCAGCGTGCGGGCGGGGGGAGGCGGGCTCACAGGCAGAGGAGCAGACTCTTCTCTGGATCAGCTCGTTTGAGTTGTGGTGACGTCACCTCTATACAAGAGATGGCTCTAATCTCACAAGTTTTCAGTGTTGTGTGGTGTATCATACACATTAATATCACACATGTGTATAGGATTGAGTGTGAAACATGAAGAAAAGCCTGATATAGGACCTTTAACTAAGATAACATTTTATTGCTACATTTCTTTTTCACAGCAAAGTGCAGTGGTATTTACTCACAAATTAGACATGTGCTATTTCCTTTGTATCCTCTCACATATTGGTGTAGAAACTGAATTTCTTGCTTTAATGACAGGTTCAGAGCATGTTTGTCCCGCGGGTCAGGAGATAATCATGTGGTCCTTTTATAAACATTTCTGGACAGTGGTCCCTGCTCCCTATGAGTTTGTTATTATTGTATTTCATGTGTTCTAATCGTTTGATTCTCTGATCTGTTGTTGGCGAAGAGACAACTGTCTCTTCGTCGTCCTCCGAGACGACTGCTGCTGTGATTCAGGACGATACACTTATGGCGCTTTTCCACAGCACCGGCACTACACCACTCTACACGACACGGCGCGTTACTTTTGCATTTCCACTAGCGTTGAAGCTAGGTATTGTGTTCTATTTTCGGACCGCCTCTGGAGCGGTTCCAAAAAGCTACACGCTCGTGACGTAAGCGGACTGCCTACGCTGATTGGTCAACGATCGAGTGTCGTCACTGGACGCGACATCTGACCCTTTGGGAAAAACAACTCAACCGCCATCTTTAAAACAGGCTGCTCTGCTCGGCTCTGCTTCGGCTACATTACGTCCTCCTCACTCCAGAGAAATGGAATCGCACAGAAAGCCCCAAAAGTCCTGGTCCTGGTCGGTGGAAGAGGTCCACACGTTCCTCTCTTCAGGCCAAAGAAAGAATTCAAAGGCAGCTCGAGGCTCAACAGTTTTCAGGAGATCACCAGCTCTGGATTTGTGACTAGTCTGTGGTAATCCTGGAATAACTGGTTAGCTACAAATCCTGTTAAAGCTCTCACTGAAATGTATTTACTGTGTAAATGTTCGATTGTCTGTTGTACACAGTGAGCTAGCTACATTTAGCTTCATTTAGCTATCGATAGCAGCTAAGCTAACGTCCTCCTGTGCTACTGTGCTTTATCTCGTATTATCTGCAGTATTCACGTGTTGTCATTCTGTTTTGTGCTTGTATTTAAGTTGTTGTGTGTATATTTGTTTGAGAATCCCTTCCCATAAGTGTGGAGACTACCAACGAGTAATGAGTGACCGGAGTATTCTCCTCATCTGGTCTCACACATACGTACTTTTGACTTTGTAAACTGTTGGTTTTGCACTTTACTTTTGTTTTCAATAAATTTGTGATTGTATCAAGACTGTGTTTCATTCATTTATTATAATTGTATCTGAGGTTTGGGTATCGATTGTTTGTCTGGTCTCGGAGTCTGCTGTAGTCCAGACCCGAGTCCGGACTAGCCTAGCCTAGCTTAGCCGCAAACTCGCTACCCCTATGGCTGCCGCTGTCTCTCCCTCGGTCCTTTACTGCTCGAGTTGCCATATGACGAGTTTAAACCCCGGATCCTCCTCTGATGGTAGTGATGGATGTGTTAAGTGTAGTAGCTTTGGAATCCAGGGTTAGTGAGTGAGCTGAGTCTCGAGCTAGCGCTAGCATTAGCTATAGCCTAGCAGTATCCTCGGACATGCATGCTCTGCTACACAGGCCGCTGTTGCTAAAGGTCCCATTCAGATTGTACAGAATGGGACCAGCACTATTTTTGTGCAATGCGAGCAAGTGCTGAAACCCATTTTTAAAAGTTAGCGGTCTCTGTAGTGGTATCTATGGAGGACTTTGAGGATGTAATGTTTTTCCTGGTTTCATGCTCGTGAGTCGCGCGGAAATGGCGTAGCGGTAGCGGTGGTATGAAAAGCCCACCCACTTGAAGATGTCCGATGGAGATATGTGGAAAAGCACGCGTACTCGACCGGGTCGTGACGTGTCGTGTAGAGTGGTGTAGTGCCGGTGCTGTGGAAAAGCGCCAATAGAATAGAACCGTGTCGTTCACAGTCGGAGAAAATGCTAATGCTAATGCTAGTAGTTATTTGTTCAAACCTCTCAGTCACAGTTTTGTCACCGAGAGTTTTGTTCTATTGTGAAATAAATACATAGAAATGACTTTCTTGTCCTAGAGGCACTTTGTCTTGGTCTCAGTGCTGCAGTTGTTTATACAATAATGGACCAAACATTCCAGATTAAAATATATAAACAGGAGGTGAACGTGCTCCAGGAACTCTGTTAATATTAGGGTTAAAGTAAACAGATGAATGAATGTCCATTGAACAGACAGTAAAAGATGCTAGCGGCCTGTGGCTAATGCTAACGCTAACAGCACTAGCATAACACACACTCACCGATCGCACGGAGCAGGAGCAGCTGCGGTGGTAGAAGGAGCTCTACACGGGGATCATGCAGATGTTCCCTCTGCTCCAATCAGCTGCTGAAAAAACAAACACAACTCATCAGTCTCTTTGACTCAAACACACGCATCAAGCGCACAGCGTTATCTATTGGGTAAAAAACAATGCACTTCCGGTTTGACCCTTCAGTGTAAGAGCATACACACGACAACAAACTGACCAAGTGGCGCGCGCACTGGCTCGAGAGGAACACACCACGACCTTCATAACTCGTTTTACACAGTATTTTACACTCTATCTTTTAGGTGTCTTAGGTATTTTCAATCAATCAATCAAATTTTATTTATAAAGCGCTTTTCATACAAAAGTGCTTTACAGTTTGGTTAAAAACAATCCTGCCGGCCCATGACGGTCCGTGTACCTTGCGTTCATTCTATTTTTGTTTCTGACATCCCAAATAAAAAATGAAATTTGGGGCTTTTTCTGTTTTCTGATTAAGCAGGCGGGTCGGGCAGTCTTATCATGTTGTCCTCTGGTTCCTGTCCTCTGGTTCCTGTCCTCTGGTCCCTGTCCTCTGGTCCCTGTCCTCTGGTCCCTGTCCTCTGGTCCCTGTCCTCTGGTCCCTGTCCTCTGGTTCCTGTCCTCTGGTCCCTGTCCTCTGGTTCCTGTCCTCTGGTTCCTGTCCTCTGGTTCCTGTCCTCTGGTTCCTGTCCTCTGGTCCCTGTCCTCTGGTCCCTGTCCTCTGGTCCCTGTCCTCTGGTCCCTGTCCTCTGGTCCCTGTCCTCTGGTTCCTGTCCTCTGGTTCCTGTCCTCTGGTTCCTGTCCTCTGGTTCCTGTCCTCTGGTTCCTGTCCTCTGGTTCCTGTCCTCTGGTTCCTGTCCTCTGGTTCCTGTCCTCTGGTTCCTGTCCTCTGGTTCTTGTCCTCTGGTCTCTGTCCTCTGGTTCCTGTCCTCTGGTTCCTCTCCTCTGGTCTCTGTCCTCTGGTCCCTGTCCTCGGGTTCCTGTCCTCTGGTTCCTCTCCTCTGGTTCCTCTCCTCTGGTCTCTGTCCTCTGGTTCTTGTCCTCTGGTTCCTGTCCTCTGGTTCCTGTCCTCTGGTTCCTCTCCTCTGGTCTCTGTCCTCTGGTTCTTGTCCTCTGGTCCCTGTCCTCTGGTTCCTGTCCTCTGGTTCCTCTCCTCTGGTTCCTCTCGTCTGGTCCCTGTCCTCTGGTTCTTGTCCTCTGGTTCCTGTCCTCTGGTTCCTGTCCTCTGGTTCCTGTCCTCTGGTCCCTGTCCTCTGGTTCCTCTCCTCTGGTCTCTGTCCTCTGGTTCTTGTCCTCTGGTTCCTGTCCTCTGGTTCCTGTCCTCTGGTTCCTCTCCTCTGGTTCTTGTCCTCTGGTTCTTGTCCTCTGGTTCCTGTCCTCTGGTTCCTGTCCTCTGGTTCCTGTCTGTAGTCTTTGTTGCTTCTTGGTTTGGACCATTTTCTGCTTTATCAGTATTATTACAAACATGATCATTCCTCCAGTGGATTTACGATGGTTCTACTTGGTTCGTACCATGAATCCTCTCTGCTCTGGTCTGGACCAGTGTAAAACCATGAATCCTCTCTGCTCTGGTCTGGACCAGTGTAAAACCATGAATCCTCTCTGCTCTGGTCTGGACCAGTGTAAAACCATGAATCCTCTCTGCTCTGGTCTGGACCAGTGTAAAACCATGAATCCTCTCTGCTCTGGTCTGGACCAGTGTAAAACCATGAATCCTCTCTGCTCTGGTCTGGACCAGTGTAAAACCATGAATCCTCTCTGCTCTGGTCTGGACCAGTGTAAAACCATGAATCCTCTCTGCTCTGGTCTGGACCAGTGTAAAACCATGAATCCTCTCTGCTCTGGTCTGGACCAGTGTAAAACCATGAATCCTCTCTGCTCTGGTCTGGACCAGTGTAAAACCATGAATCCTCTCTGCTCTGGTCTGGACCAGTGTAAAACCATGAATCCTCTCTGCTCTGGTCTGGACCAGTGTAAAACCATGTATGCCGGCTTGATTCGCGAACGCACAGAGAGGCGTGAGAGTTCTTTTTACAAATGTTTACTGCACTTTCTTTATACAGTTTACACCGTAGAACTAGCAACAAAACACAAAATGGTACAACTTAGATATTAAATAAATAATAAACAAAAATATGAATTAATATACAATCATACACACCACTTTGGCCTGCTGGCGAACAACCCGGTGGACTATAGCTTATAATGTCTAATTGTTATGACTTCACTCTGCTTTGTCGGGTCCGTCTATCTCCGCTAACTTGACTTGTTCCACTAAACCTATTGAGAATGAGGAGTCACGTGCCGAGTTGGGGTGATTTGGGGGGGGCTCTGAGCCTGTCGGACATATTGGCTGCGCAACGGGGGCACGCCCCCAGAATTTCACGCGCTCCTCATATTCCAGAGCACTTTAAATTATACGCATTTACGTTTTCGGCGAGACAGAGACGGATCTACTGATACAACAAGGGAAAGGAAGACAGTAAAACAATGCTTAGAGATAAGGCGAAAGAGAAGGGACCGTACAGGAACAAGCTCATACCAAGCGCAAAACAGAGGTATTTGGAGAAGCTTGCGGACATCAAAAACATCGACCCATACGAGCTCCCTGCAGCGGAATGGCACAGAAACCTGGACCATTTACCTCCGTGCACATACATGGACATAGTAAACTATGTCCATGGGGGAGCCTGCCCCTCCCCTAACCCATCACCAAAAACCCATCCACCTTCAACCCCTCCCCGTCCAACTCCCAAGAACCACCTGCCTCTCCATCCTCTTCCCCCGCCTTCCCCCTCCCCTCTTTTCTCTAAACACTAGGATGCACAGGGTCTCTGCTTCGCAGCCACTGGCAGTCTAGTTAGAGGAGAGACCCGGCTGGGGCCCTGTCGTGAAGCCACCTGTGCCATTCCCTTAGTGATAACACAAAGAATACATAACAGAAAAACATCTGGAGTTAATCAGTCTAATCAGGAAAATCTAATTCTTGTTCCGTGTAAGAATCAGCCGACCACAACCGCTGATCCTGAAACTTTTAAACTTGCTATGCTAAATGTCAGATCTCTTTGTAACAAGTCTTTTTTAATCAATAATTTTATTTGTTCTTATAATCTAGATCTTATGTTCATGGCTGAAACATGGCTTGACCAAAATACAGAAAATGCAGTTTTAATAGAAGCATCACCACCAAATTTCAAATTTGAATCTGAAATACGGGAAAACAAAAAAGGAGGAGGCTTAGCTGCCATTTTCAGAGACCACTTTGTCTCCCATAGAATGTCTCTTGGGAAGTTTCCGTCTTTTGAATATGTGTCTTTTAAAATACAACAAAAACAATCTCCTCCAATACTTTTCGTTGTCCTATACAAGCCACCGCAGTCATGTCACAGTTTTATTGATAATTTTACAGAGTTGCTTTCAGTTGTATGCACAGATTTTGATAGTTTAGTTATTACAGGTGATTTTAATATTCATGTGGATAATGTTGATGACAGAAATGCTAAAGAGCTGAGTTCTCTTCTTGAATCTTTTGGTCTCACTCAGCATGTGAGTGGCCCCACCCACAGCAAAGGGCACACTCTAGACCTGTTAGTTACAAAGGGGGCGAACATTTATAATGTAAACGTGGTCGATGTTGCGCTTTCGGATCATTTTTGTATATTTTTTGACATGTGTTTCACTAACAAACCACCAGTGGACTCTGCAACTGTACGAAGAAGACACATAAATGAAAATACGGGTGAACTATTTATGGGAATGATAAACTTTGAGAATGCATCGTACTCTACTGTAGATGAACTGTTTAACTCTGTCACCTCTAGTGTTTTGAAAGTTCTGGACACCATCGCTCCTGTGAAGGTTAAAATAGTGAAAAATAAGCAGAAGGCGCCGTGGGCTAAAGCAGACTCGGTCAGAGCACAAAAGAGAGAGTGCCGGAGGGCCGAGCGGAAGTGGCGCAAGTCCAACCTCCAGGTTGATTACAAGATCTTCAAAGATAAGTTGTGCGAGTTTAACCAGGTGCTACGTAGTACAAGAGAAAGGTATTTTTCTGAAATGATTGAAGGCTGCAGCAACAATCTGCGTGTTCTGTTTTCAACAGTTAATAGATTAACAAACCCCCCTGTTCAGATGCCATTAGAGCTAACTTCCAAACGTAAATGTAATGAGTTTGCACATTTTTTCAATGACAAGGTTCAAGGCATCAAAAACGCCATTGTCTCCAATCCACAGATAACCATCCAACAGCCAGAAAGGCTCTTTGAGCTAACTTACTTTGCACCTGTAAATGATCAAACTGTCCAAGAGATAATCTCCAGTTTGAGCTCCTCCACATGCAGCCTGGATGTACTACCCACTAGATTTCTAAAGTCTGTTCTGAGCAGTCTGCTACCTTCACTCACACAGATAGTAAACATGTCCCTTGATTCTGGAATATTCCCAAAGGCCCTGAAAACTGCAGCCATCAGGCCCCTGCTAAAAAAGAGCAGTCTGGATGCTACGGTACTTAACAACTATCGTCCCATCTCAAATCTGCCATTTATGGGGAAAGTCCTTGAGAAAGTTGTCTACCTACAGCTTACTAGATTTCTTATAATCAACAACTCATTTGATATGTTTCAGTCCGGCTTTAGACCCCACCACAGCACTGAGACTGCTCTCGTTAAGGTTACAAACGATATCCGGCTGAACACTGACGCAGGCAAAGTCTCAATCCTAATCCTGTTAGATCTAAGTGCTGCCTTTGATACTGTCGACCATGAGATCCTCTTACAGAGACTAGAGGACTGGGTTGGCGTCGCTGGCACCGCCCTAAGTTGGTTTAGGTCTTACCTTGAAGACAGGAAGTACTTTGTGGAGATTGGAAACTGTGTCTCAGATCATATGGCCCTGACCTGTGGAGTCCCACAGGGGTCGATCCTGGGACCTCTTCTGTTCAATCTCTACATGCTGCCGTTAGGTCAGTTAATACGCAGAAACAAAGTTTCCTATCATAACTATGCAGACGACACTCAGATCTATGTCTCACTGACTGCAGGAGAACATGGACCAGTGGACTCACTCCTTCACTGTATCCAACAGATCAGTGAGTGGATGCAAAACAACTTCCTTCAGCTAAACGCAGACAAAACTGAAATGATTGTCTTTGGTCCCCAGAAACAAAGAGAGAGCGTCATCTGTCACCTACAGTCTCTCTCCCTAAAACCTTCAAACAAGGTCAGAAATCTAGGGGTAATACTGGACTCAGACTTAAATTTTAATAGCCACATCAAATCAGTAACATCAGCAGCTTTTTACCATCTAAAAAACATTGCCAGGATCAAAAACATAGTGTCTAAAGCAGACCTGGAGATTCTTATCCATGCATTTGTCTCCAGTAGGTTAGACTACTGCAATGGCCTGCTCACAGGTCTGTCCAAACAGGCTGTAAAACAGCTGCAGTACATTCAAAATGCAGCAGCTCGAGTCCTGACTAGAACCAGGAAGTACGACCATATTAGTCCGGTCCTCAGGTCTCTGCACTGGCTTCCTGTGGCTCAGAGAATAGACTTTAAAACAGCTCTGCTTGTGTACAAGTCTCTCCATGGCCTCGCACCAAAATATATTAGTGACATGTTAGTCCCATATGAACCAGCCCGGACTCTGAGGAGCACAGGGACTGGACTCCTGTTAGTGCCCAGAGTCAGAACTAAACATGGGGAGGCTGCTTTTCAGATTTATGCTGCTAAAATCTGGAACAATCTTCCTGAAGATGTGAGACAGGCCTCCTCTCTGACAATGTTTAAAACCAGGTTAAAAACGGTGCTGTTTAGCTGTGCATACAACTGAGGGATTTTATATTTTTATCTTTCGTTTTAATGTTCTGTAATTATTTATGATTTTAATGCTATCTTGTTCAGCACTTTGAGTTGCCTTGTGTATGAATTGTGCTATACAAATAAACTTGCCTTGCCTTGCCTTGCCTTACCTTGTATTTGGTGTAAGTTACTACACGATGCAGGAGTTTAAAAGCCACAAGTCTTTGGAAAGTTACGAGACTTTCTGCTGTGGCTGGGTGCAGGACTTGGTCATCTACAAGCCTCCAGCTGGTGACAACAGCGTTGTACTGGCAAAAGTAAGTTTCTTCACATATGCCTTTTAGTGTGTTGTAATTACATTGCATTTAGCAGACACTTCTTGACCAAAATGACAAACTAATTAATGAGGTAGGCTTAGGCTGTGTTTGTTGAGGTATTTAGTTGTAATTTGCGTTTGTTTGGGGCTGCAAAGTGGACAAACCAGTTCTACTTAAAAGTGGGCAAGGGTAAATGTGAATGCAAAATGTAAATGGCCTGGTTAGATGTAAGCCATTCACAGTGTGAATGCAAGGTGTATGAGATGGTAATGTAGAGTGCAGACTGTTAGTTTAAATAATAATGGGCAGTCTCTGTGTTGAATGCTTTTTACTGTTTCCCTAATTTCTTAACCTTTGTGTATTTAACAGGTCCTGCATTCACGGCGCCTTAGTGAGCCTCCTCTTACTCCATGGATAATCTTAACACCATCGGGGCAAGTGTGTTCGGCCCACTGCACCTGTATGGCCGGTGTAGCAGAGTCGTGCACCCACGTTGGAGCCCTGCTCTTCATGGTCGATGCCTGTGTCCGGCTAAAGGAGAAGGCCACGGTCACAGATGAGCCGGCGTACTGGAAGCTCCCAAGCAGCATCAACAAGGTGCAACCTGAGGTATGTCACCAGGTCAACTTCATATCTGCAGCAGCCACACGCAGATCTCTGGACAGACAAATTGATGGTGACACCGACAATAGTCCAGTGCAGAGAACACGAATGGCCAAAACAGCACCACCACCATCACCGACACAAGACAAGCTGGCAATTTTCTACCGGCAAATCAGCATGACAGGCACAGGATCTGCCATTTTGACAGTGCTCCCTGACTACTGTGAGCAGTTCAAGGATCCTGTTCTTCCCATTCGGAGCCTACAGTCAGGCCCGTCCTAAGGGCTGTGCGACCTGTGCCGTCGCACAGGGCCTCGCACCACACAGGGGCCTCGCAATCTTCCTTCCTTTTATTTTATTTTATAAATACACTAGTTCAAGGGTCCCCAAAGGGCAGACTGCACTCCAAATTTGGAACCCTAAACCCCTTTCTCTGGACCTCTTTGATTTCGTTTGATCAAAAGAACATTTTTACAAGTAAAGTCAAATTTTCACCAAAAGCGATTTGTAAACAGGCAGGCGCGCGGGCAGCTATGTATGCAACGGGTCCTCCGAAAAAACTGTCAGATAACTTTAGCAGTGTCTGAGTGAGATACAAAGAAAGTAACGGGAATGATCGCAGTGTAGGAGAGATGGATACTCGCGGAGGAGGAGCAGTGAGACAGGTGTGAGCAGAGGAGCAGACCCCTTTGTGTGAGCAGAGGAGGAGGAGGAGGATCAGCGGTGTGACAGGTGTGTGAGCGCTGCTATTGCCAATGTTTAGTCCGAATATCCACATCAAAAACATATTTTTAAAAGCATTAGCAAACACACTGTATGTCTAGC